CAGAAGTACGCACGAGATCTCTTGAAATGCTCGATTGCAAACCTATATCTACTCCGTTAGATGGGAACGCAAAGCTATGTGCTGAAGAAGGTCGAGAGCTAGAAGATTCGTCTATGTATAGGCAACTGGTAGGTAGTCTAATCTATCTTACCATAACTCGGCCTGACATCGCTTTTGCAGTGGAAGTAGTGAGTCGATTCATGGAGAAGCCAAGGAAGCCTCACTTGGATGCAACCAAGCGTATCCTGAGGTATGTAAAGAAGACTTTTGATTTTGGGCTTTTGTATAAAAAAGAATCATCGGGTGAGTTGGTCGGTCATTGTGATGCCGACTATTCTGGAGATCAACACACACGGCGATCAACTACTAGATACTCATTTCATCTTGGATCAGCAGTAGTATCCTGGTGCAGTAAAAGATAGCCGACTGTGTCTTTGTCTACAACAGAAGCTGAATACAGAGCAGCAGCAATGGCAGCTTAGGAGAGCACGTGGCTAGTGCAGTTATTGGATGATCTTCATCAGTCGATAGATTATTCGACAATATTGTATTGTGATAATCTATCCTCTATAAGCTTGGCAGAGAATCCAGTTTTCCATGCTAGGACTAAGCATGTGAAAGTCCACTATCACTTTCTGTGGGAGAAAGTGTTGGAAGGCAAGATTAAGATGGAGTACACCAAGACAGGTGATCAAGTTGCTGATATCTTCACCAAAGGTCTTGGAGCTGCAAAGTTTGAAGAGTTTCGAACTCAACTTGGTATGGTTTCAAAATCTATCCTAAGAGAGAGTAGTCGGTGAGGAGGAGTATTGAAGATATTACCACCTTATCTCTCTAGATCTTTCTTGATTAGTCTTGACCTTTCGTATTTCAATGACTAGTTAATGTGATTGTTTGTATTTGGTCTTGACCTTTCGTGTTTCGATATCTAGTTAATATCATATACATGTATAGTCATTTATGAATCATATCAAGAGTCATGTATTATGCCTATATAAAGGCAAGTCTAGTTGAAGTATTTGTAAGGTGAATCAAGTCATAATAAAATAGTTTATTCCTCTCCTCTCCTTGAGTGTTTTTCCTTGAGAGTTACCAATTAAAGTCGTTCACCTTCGAGAGTTGCCGACGATAGTTATCAACGATCGAGGCTTTCACTTTTGAGTGTTACGCCTTAAATCTCAACAGAAACTTCCGTACAACCACCTCCATCAGCATCACCATCGGACACATCTCAAATAGCTCCTACCTCAACTGATTCACAACCGACAACAAATGTTCCTACTTCCAACTGATTCACAATCGTCACCAAGTTTTCATGCTCCTACTCATTTAATGGTTACTCGCCACCTCAAGGATGGAACTATTTCACGCCAGACTATCAGCCGTCAACACATTTTTGCAATGACTACCACTGAACATTCTTATATGGAGCCTACATGTTTACTAATGCCTCTCGTGATCCTCCTTGGCGCGCAGCAATGGAAGCAGTATATACTGCCCTCATAATAAATGGCACTTGGGAACTTGTTCTAGCTCCTTCTCATGCTCGTCCAATTGGATGCAAATGGATTTACAAAGTTAAGTTGTGTGCAGATGGAACTCTAGAACGGTTTAAAGCTTGACTTGTTGCCAAAGGATTCCACCAGTAGGCTGAAATTGATTACATTGAAACCTTTAGCCCCATTGCCAAGCTAGTCACTCTTTGCACTGTCATTGTTGTTGCCTACTCTAAAGGATGGCGCATCAAACAACTTGATGTCTCCAATGCTTTTCTACATGGATACTTAAATGAAGAGGTTTATATGGTATAACCTCCAGGGTTGTTGATCCCACAAGGCCTCATCATGTATGTCATCTTCACCGTTCCCTCTATGGTCTCAAGCAAGCTTCTTGTGCTTGGTACCAGCAGCTGAGTTCCCACCTCATTGACCTTGGCTTTTGATTGTCGGGTGCAGATTTCATTGTTTACTCTTCACACTACTCACTACAACATAGTACTTCTAGCATATGTGGATGACATTACTTTCTCATAGGCTCTCCTAATGCTCCCTTTGGAAGTCTACTTACTGTTCTTCAAACTGAATTTGCAATTAAAGACTTTGGTCCCCTTCACTACTTTCTTGGTGTCAAAGCCCATTCAACTTCTTAAGGACTACTCCTACATCAGGTAAAGTATACTCATGAAATCTTGGAGCGATAAAAAATGACAAATGCTTGTGCAATTTCTACGCCGTGCACAACTGATGAATTAATCTCTCACAGACATGGTGAGCCTTTACTGGACCCTTTACATTATCTTAGCATAATCAGTGCCCTTCATCATCTGACCCTTACCAGACGTGACATTGCATATTCCGTCATATAGCATGTCAATCTCTCCATGCTCCTACAACAACTCATTCGCAATTCATTAAGCGTATACTACGCTATTTGGCAGATACTCTTCGTCTTGGTATTCTTTTCACTCGTGGCCCTTCCAAAGCTCTTCATTCATTTTCCGATGCTGGATGGGCTGGTGATAAAGATAATCGACGCTCAATTGGAGGTTATTGTGTCTTTCTTGGTTGCAATATTATTTTCTGGTGTTTTCGCAAGCAATGAACTGCGACCCACTCTAGTATAGAAGCTGAATATAAGTGCTTAGCCAACAAAACTGCGGATTTTATGTGGATTGAATATATATTGAAAGATCTTCATGCTCTTCCACAACATCCACCAATTCTTTGGTGTGATAATATATCTGCTTTGTACCTCACTACGAATCATGTATTTCATGCTAAAACAAAGCACGTGGAAATTGATTATCGTTTTATCCATGAACATCTAGCCTAGGGATAGATCAACATCCATTTCATTTCATTTGTGGATCAGCCCTATGATATCTTCACTAAAGGTCTCTTCCACACACTTTAGACTTCTAAGATCCAAGCTAACTATCTGTCTCGCCCCGTCAGATTGCAGAGAGATATAGAACAAGTCAAAGATAAGATATTTTCCTAACGAGATATGATCTTGATCTTTTCCTCATTTTCAATACAAGATGAATATTTTTTGAGGTGTATGTCTAAAAACAAGATATGATCTTGATTTTTTCGTCATCTTCTGCACAAGAAACTATCTTTTCCTCATCTTCGGCATAAAATGAATATTTCTTGAAGTGTATATATAAAGAGACTCACATTGTAAAATTGTGAGTGAGAAATGATAAATACTAAAAGGTATTCTTTCACTTTTCTCATCGCTGCATCCATTTATTTTCCTATTATCTCTCTGATCCGATCCTCCGTCAAACGACAATATTTGTGCGAATGTATGCATCTCACCCTGCCCGACCTCACCCCAGCGAAGAATTATTATACCCATGTTGTACAACCACAATCAGCATCCGCGTGCGAGGGTTGTCGTCGCCATTGCTCGTCTCCCTCGTCCCTGCTGGTCCCCTCACATGCACGCAGGAGTCTTCACGAAGACTTAGTCAACATCGATTCTTGTTGAGAAAATCAAATGGTCGAACAATAAAGTAAACAGCACAAGGAAATAAATCACGATGGAACCTACTCCACATCCACATGGGGGGCAGCACATGATTTTAGTATTGATCAAACGATAAAACAGAGATTACAACTATACTCTAATCACTCAAATTCTCTCTACGTTTCTTAGCCCCCAATTACACCCAAGAACTTACATAGTAATTGACTCTCACGATTTTTCTCCAAATATTCTCTCAATCTCACAAAAGAATTTATAAATTTACCACAAGATTTATTGACTTGGACACCAAAAGCTCCTCTTAGATTGATTCAGAGTGTAATTCGGGAACAAGCCACATATTGTATAAAATTCCTAAAGAAGTCTTAATTCCCATGTAAAAAAGAATTAGATCCAAAATGGAAAATATACTCAAAATAGAAATCCAACTCCAACTAGCCTACTTAGATTAGGTTTCTTTTAGAGCTCAAACTAGACATATATTTTTAACAAAGCTCTCTTGCTTCGCCGAGCATAATTGTGCCCTCGCGGAGCCTTCACAACCTCGTATCAAGGCCGATCCAAAGAGGTCGACCTTAGACCGGCCGCAACCAAGGCCTCGAAGCCCCTGAGGCTGTTTCGGGCTTTAGCAACGTTGAGGTCACGATGAAGCAAAGCTTGAGCTTGCTACACTCAAGTTTTTGTTAGAATAATTTATAACAAAGCAATACTAGTTAGGGGTGAGCGTGGTCCAGGCGGGTGGTTCCTGACATGGAACCGGGAACCGCCCACTAAGGACCGGTTCTGAGAAATTGGAACCGAGAACCGTCGATTAGTTCCATGGATCCACCCGGGAACTGGACCGCCGGTTCGGTCCAATCCGGGTCCAGTCCGGTTCCCGGATGGGTCCATGGAACCGGTCCCACCAAGTTTCACATAAATGGAAGTGACCGAGAGTGAGAGAGGGAGACGAATGGCTAAAGGCGCGGTCGTGAATTGATAGGAATTGAAAGTCGAGCTTTAGATTAGGGATTTTATGATTTTCATTTTTTCTAAAAATGTTTTCTTTTTTTTTTGTTGAAATTTTTCTAAAAAATTATATATATGTCTATATATATTATATGTCCGGTCCGGATGGGCCTACGGGTAGTTCCATGCCTAGAACCAGGAACCGGACCAGTCCTCACGGGAATTGCCGGTTCCGAGCCGGTCCAGTCTGGTTCCGAGCGATTCCCGATTCCGAGCGGTCCGGACTGTTCCCGATTCCTTTACACACACCTAATACTAATACCAGACATATTAAAAAATTTATGACAATCCTCGCAAGGGCCGATTTTTTATTGGGTGTTAAAACAAGTGGGACCGCAAGCATTAAAAGATCAATGACCTAAAAAGAAATGACCAAATCACTTCTAAGAGAACGTTAGTCAGTTTTGTGAGCATACGTAGTGTTTTATCTGGGGATGTTTAAGCAATGTCGGATTACTTTCCCCTTGTGCTTAAAAGGCGTCTCGAGTTTAACATGAAGGTGCCAAAACAAATGCTTAAATCATAATCTAACACAGAAATACATATACAATGACCAATTTTCGTCCACCATCAGAACATGTACTACGTAACGCTTCATATATATATATCGCCGAAGTGGTACCACCAACTACCATGAATTATAAAAAGGGGATGATCTGATCAAAATCAACAAAAAAGAATACAAAACGTTGTACCACACCATTTTCACAGGAAACTTTAATTTAGGAGCCGCAAAGAGCCATGGACAGATCCAAATTTACGCTGCTTTTATCCGAGTATGAACCCGAGTATTCCCTGGACCTCGAGCACGATGAGAAGGCCTCGCTGATCTCGCTGGCCGAAGAACCGTTGCTTCTGTGAATGAAGTGACATTGCAGAGAGAGCGAAAGTGACAGTTCGCGACCTTCGGATTCCTCGTATTCCTCCAAGGGAAAGCTTCTCCAGTCTGTGAGCTTTAACCCTTTTCGGGACTTCTGTGTCGGATCTTGAAGTTTCGCAATCTGCACGAGGCCAGGATAATTTTTCTCGTTAGTCACACTTTCGACGTGCGGTTAGTCCGACCGAGCAAACTGCATTGCATATTTTCAAACTTCAACGTGAATTTTCATGTCATAAATGTTGAATTTCATGTGCCATTGTACAAAAAGATGACAGTGAGATTGTGTCGATGAGGACTATACAGAGATAAACCTGACATTGGTGTTCAATGGCCTAGTGAGCCACAATGCAAATGCAGATCTTATTGTGCGAGAATTGATGGTTAGGGACTTCCAGATGGTCAATAACGCACCCAAGTTCAGGGGATCTGTCCCGCGACTATCCCACTCGGAAATTCCCAAGTACAAGAGAGAACAATTGAACGGAACTACAGACCATTATGATGAGGAATGGACTACATGAGCGTAGTGGCAAGCCCTAGAGAGGTTATATGATGAATTCTGGCTGTAACTGGTGTAGAGACCAGCCAACTTCATAGCAATGATGCGAACTGGTGATGCAGATCTGGTCCCTGGTGGGAAAATATCCCTATCTAACTCGGTCTATCACACTTCCAATTCAAGAGGAAACTATTGTAGATTGGCCACAGAAAACAAGCTAGGCACCAGCAGCGAACGTGCATATAGCGCATACAAATGTACTCAATCGTGATGGAAGATGTGTATAGTTCTTCTTACTATGACAATTCATGCATAACTAAGAATATGTTGCAAGAAGTTCCATAAATTTTGGCGCAAACACAGGCGGCCTATCCAAGATTAATTGGGGCAGTGTACCAGCAGCATGGTGGGAAAAGGTCTATGAAACAAGAAAAATGGACATAATACAATCTGCTTGCACAAAAAGTATTTACTACAATATATGTTTTCATTAAAAAATTCTTGGTTTTATTTTAATTTTTATAATCGTGATAATATTGATTATCTAGTTAAGAATCCTTAATATACTTAGTTTTTCTCGTAAACTTTATGTGCCAGGCAGCATGGCAAGGTATGACCAATTCGAGTGGATAAATGGTAGTAGGGATGCTACAAATGAACCTTAGAATGGCGAGCATTTTCTCTGCTCTTTATTTGAAAGACCATATATAAGATAGTATAACAGCACTTTATGAATCATTTTGTTCTATTATCAGACTTTGGATCCTAGCAGTACTCAGTTTCACATACTTGTATTCTCAGGTCAGAGGCAACAGAAGAGAAAAGAATAGAAAGAGCCTCTCAGGCTACGCTGAGGGGTCTGATCCCCCTTTCTTACACGAGTACTTTTCGAGTAGCCATGCAGTGAAGAGAATAACACTGTTGGACCATCATACGTGCGACGCAGGTTGACTCATTGCCCCAAAAAAGAGAAATGACCCCAAGAAAACACGAGACGAGAAGACAAGAAACGAAAAAGGAAGATGGAGACAAAGTCAAGATAGCTTTCAAGTTCGAAACCCCAAAACCTAACACCGCACTCAACCCAACCATCCCAAACCCAAAAGGAAAAAATAAAAGCTGGCAAAAGTGAACCACATTCACACACAAATGCAGAGTGAGAGAGAGAGAGAGAGAGAGAGAGCGTACCAAGGGGAATTTAGATTCTTCTTTCGCGGCGCACTCGAGAGGATCGTTGAAGCTGTGGAGAGCTCGGGGCATGCATGGAGTGTGCCATCTGAAACCATCAACGCCCTGTGCCCGAAAGCCGTACGGCACTTGTTCTGCAGCTGCTGAAGTCGTCGTCGTCGTCGTCGCCACCTTCTCTGTCCTCGATCTGTGCACCAACAAAAGAAGAAAGAAAAGCAAAAGAAACAATAAGAATTTTCATCAGTCAAAATCTTTTAAAATAAAAGAGAAGCTGCTGATTGTCCTCCATGGAAAAGACTCGACACATTTACGAAAACAGCTAGCTACGACATCTACCTCTCTAGCGTTTACTTTATTCTTTTTGACATTGCGAAATCACCAAGAAAAAGAAAACTGTCATAATGAAAGGTTTACCGTTTACAAGGAAGAGTATTGCATGCAAATCGAGAATGATGAGCAGGTTTTGCGAATGCATGAGGGCCTTCGTCGTCGTTTACTTCGTCCAAACGCCCGCCGTCGTGATCGGGATAGTGGTCTTCAGCGGCCCGTCTCTTCTGTTGGACGCAGCCCCTATCTGCATAAATTTGAAGATGCACCCATATAAAAGTTGCACAGATTTAGCTAATGTTTGTCTTGATTCAATACGTTGTTCATTTATGAACCGCATTGATTGCGTTATGGTGTTGTGTGTGGTTTTCATCAAAGTCGTGACATGTGAGAGTGAGCACTCCTGTTTCGGTTCTATTTTCTGTGAAAATCACATGGGCAACAGCAGCAACAACAACAGTCAACATAGAGCAGCGTTAGTGGAAAGTAGGGTTTTTAATAAATGAAGCGAGTATCTAAGCCGTAATACTTCCTAAAAAAATGCCAAGACGCAAGCCCATGAAGTTTGATGCTGAAACATGGGTGAAGCACCAATAGGGGAAAGTAAGGTAAGAGAGCCAGCCATTAATGCACGTACCACAAAAAAATGATGATATAATTTGAAGTTCCATTGGAAACCAAACAACACGCCCCAAAAAAAAACAAAACAAAAAAATCAAAGACCCATCTTTTTCTTTAGTGAAAATAAAAACGACAAACAAGTCGTGCCTAAATGAAAAAGAAAAATAAACGAGGCAAGGACAGATATTTGAGGAGTGGTGGTTGACGAAATTAAATAAAGAAATGCAGTTTAGTACTACAGTTCTAAAATGGGAGGGTTAGGATTATCTACCTGATCTGCCCAGGTCGCTCCTCATGCTTCTGTACATCTGCTCCAAAAATCAAATTTTACTGATGATTAATTAAGAGCCTAAAAAAGGTTTTTATTTTATGGAGGAAAGGAAGAGGGAATCTGAAATTGTGACTGATGAGAGAAGAGGAGGAAAGCAAAGCAAACTTATTGCACCTGGAGATGGCTCTTGACATGAGAGATGGTGAGCCCTCTCACATCCATCAGCTGAAGCACTAGCTTCGGCGTCGCCTCTGCAACACCAGCAGCCGCATCCAAGACAAAAGTCAATGAAACAGATGATGATCAAACCCTAACACCCAAGAAAAAAAGAGACATCTCGCGCAGCAAACTGCAACGAAATATCATCACGCGAGAGAGAGAGAGAGAGAGAGAGAGAGAAGAGAGAGAGGGAGGCGTACTGTCTTGACCGCCGAGACGTTGGATGGCGTGGACGAAGCACTGGTGGAGCTCCGGAGTCCATCTCAGCCGCGGGACCTTCGACCTTACGTACTGCCTCACCGTCCCACTCCTCCCACAAGACCCCATTTTTCACTCCTCCTCCTCCTTCCTCGTCTCCTTCTGCTGCAACACCAATCCGTATCTGGGTTTCGAGAGCCTTGGCTTGGAGGCCAAGGAGAGCGTCCAAAAACTCCCCAACGCAACGTCGTTTCGATGGTCAGGGCTCTCTAGTTCGAATCCCGTCACAACCGTCGGGGCTTTGCAGCAACAGTTATATAGCCTAGGACTCGGCTCGCAAAAAGTAAAAAAGAAAGGAAAAACGAGGGAAGCTTTTCCTTAATACGAAGCTGCGCGGAGAGAGAGAGAGATCACGAGAAAAGGAAAAGACGGGGAAAAGGGGGCCTGCAAATTCCTTTGAGGGGCTGATAAAAACTCTGCTAATTCCGCTTCTGTTCCCCTTCTGTTCCTCCTCCACCTCCTCTCTCTACCCCTCCCTCTCTCTCTCTCTCTCTCTCTGTCTTTCTTTCTTTATGCGCAGAGGAGACAGAAAGAGAAGAGAAGAGATAGAGATAGAGAGAGAGAGAAAATCCTCGTGGTCACGAGCTTTTGCGATCTCCTTCTCCTCCCACAAATCATTACTCCCCTCCCCCCTCTCCCTCTCTCCTACAAAACTACAACTGCTTACTTTGACCTTTGCTCTTTCTTTCTCTCTCTTTCTTCGTAAGTAAAATTCTAATACGCCAACGTCGTCATCATCACCCGAGCCTGCCAAGTTTTCATATGCTTTTGTTGTATTATGCGTTTTCTTTTCTCTGCTCTCCTTTTCCCTTTCCCTTTTCCCTTTCCCTTCTGTTCTTTTGCTGCTTTGATTTTCTCTCTTCTTCTTTTCTCCCGGAGGACGAATATGCCCCTCCGTCTCCCTACTTGTTCTTCGGTATTTACTTCGTACGTCCTTCGTCAGAAATTTTGGATAAGCCTGAGAATAATGCTTCTTTTCCAGAGTTTTTTTTCCTTTTCTTTTTTTATTTATGCCTTTCATAAAGTGCCCTGGACCATGTACAGTAGCATTTTCACCTCTTTGTGCTGGGGAATAATTATTGATATCAATTACATCGGACTGGCATTTCACGTAGTTAGATTTTTAAATTCGCGTAATTCCTTTTATGTTCTTGTCTTTTTCAGGAATAGGAAATATGAAAGTTTTACATCCCGATAATTCCGAAAATCGAAATGAAGCCATAGGGACTTGTTTAGGTCCTAAACTTGTTCTTTTGCTAGGGAATTATTGGAATCAATTACATCATAATGGCATTTTACGTAATTGGATTTATAAATTCCCTATAGATAGATATTTAAATAAGATTGTGTTACTTCGATTCATAAACTAATCTTAATATATCAAGTATTATATGTACTTAAATACTTAAAAAGTTGATAGATAGGATATTTTTATCTCGCGCTCCGGTCAATAACTATTGGGCAATATTCTTTTGAGGAATTAGTGACTACTTATGTAGATCAATCTGATTCATTTCGTAGAGTTTTCACTTTTCTTAAGTGGAAAAATCGGAACTGGTCAAGTCTTAATCACCCTAGAATCAAAGCAAATAATAATGTGAATTAAAAGAAAATCGAATTTGTTAAAGAAAAGACATTGAAGGCCATGAAATTTTTACATTGTAAGACACTTGATAGGTGAGATTAAAAGTTGAGTCAATTCAAATTGGAGCGAACTATGGAGCTTGGTTATAAAACGATTTAGGGAGGAAATTTTCCATTAATTATTATTTTTTTAAAGAAAGGTTGAAGGATGCAACATGCAAGAGCTCTTGATATAAAAATATATATTTTTTTAAATAAATATGAAATGGAAATGGGAAGTTCACGTCCAAATGGAAAAGAAATAGAAAAACATTTAACTCGTGTTTCTCATTTAGGAAATTAATTAACTAGAGTTCAAGATATTATGCCATCCATGACATAATGGGGATTATAATTTAAGGTCGATTTTTAACAAGAAATGTTATCTAAAAGAGTGAGAAATAGCTAACTTTGGGTGAAAATGAAGATATTTGGTATATTTTTTTTATGATATTTTACAATTTGGTAAATAAACAGGGAACACCATGTCCGTTTTAAATACCAATAAGTCAAAAAAAATATTTTAAAACCGCTAAAATTATTATCAAGAGCTGTAAAATGCTAGGTTAATCTTAACAGATAAATTTTAAAATCAATAATTATCCAACATGTAATTCTAATTACACCGGTCCCCACCGACATTAACTGCCTATCTCTAATAACAACACATGCGCTAATATCTATTAATTTGTACATACTGAAATTAGTAAAATCGTTTTTATTGATTTTTCGCAAGTATATCGTATTCGGATATTGCCAAAAACTAATCGGTTCGACATTCTATAAGAATTGTAATGTTTTATAAACCATCAAAGCATTTTCATCAATGTAGACTCTTTGTCGTCCTTCTTAACCCTGTAAAAACATCAATACCATCTACTAATTTAGACACTTAAATATTACGACTCCAGAAACCAATTTTCTAGAAACTTTCCAAAGTTAAACAAATTCAATGACAGGCTCGTAGTTTGTCGAAGTTATCAAATAATTCAAGCAAACTAGTTATCATAAATAATATTAGGAAATGAAGAAACTTCAAAATGTCATAGCCATTGTTCCCCTCCCCCAATATTGGGCATCCAAAAAATGATTCAAATTTTAAAAAATCTGGTAAAAAGTACATGCAAACTTTATGTTATTGTCTATATATTTGAAAATCCGTTATGTGAATAGAAATGAAACTGTAAATGTGACAAGAAAACAAAAAAATCAAACATGAATATCAACATCAAAATCAATGCCAATAACAAGGAAGAGGCATATAAGTCCTGATTTGGCGAGTTATAAGATCCACGAGGGCAACTTGAAGAATTCATCAGACCTGAATGGTGGCAGTGACAAAGGCAGTCAAGTGCAATTTTAGCATAAAAATAATATGATTTTGGCATGTGCTGAATCACTTGTCTGTATTCGATCACACAGGACCGCATTGTTGATTAATTTCATTTTTGTAATTTTGTTCAGGTCAATCCGAATATCTCAGGCATCCTAGTCCCAAGCCAGAGAGCTTGCCCGAGCCCATAAGAAAAAAACAAAACAGGACAAGTGTATCGAAAATTTTTAAAACTTATCAAACTTTCAAGAAGTACAATTAATTCCTCAAACTTGTCAAACTGGTGCAATCAGGTTTCTCCGCCAATAGAATTTTCAGGCATTGAACATTCCTAGATGGAAATGAGGAGCGAAAGACGAGGGCCAAAGGTTCAAGGCTTAACCCCTATTTTTTGGTTCTTTACATTAGCTAGAAGCCGGAGAGACTGCGAATGAATGAGGGAGTGGAGTACAGATGCGAGAACCCAAAAGCTACTAACCCATTTGCTTTCTGAATATGATGGTAGCGAATCCATATCCTCACGGTCAATTACCCAAAAGCACGAACTTGCTGCAACCAAGTTCAACAACTTTGCCGGGGCCTCGGTGAGCGCCTGCACGCCCTCGCCTATGGCTGGTGTGGGTCGATTGCCCTTTTCGGCAACGGCGAGGCTGCGGCGCCGCCCCACCGCATCCAAACCCTTGACATGTTTTGTTTCCTTTTATCCTTTTTCTTTTTATGTTTTCTCTCAGTTTTTGGCTACTATTTTTAATTTTCCTTTTTTCAGTCAGCTTTCTTTTTTATTTGTAATCTAATTTAACTAAGATTTGGGGTAAAGAAATTAGAATTCGGAACAAAACAGTGCTTTAGTTTACGTGCAAGGGCGTAGAGAGAACATAATAAAAAAAGCCACGTCGGTATCTTTCATTAGCCAAATTGGACGGTATTCATCGAGTATTGCGAAAGTTTTAAGACATGCATTTTCGAAACAAGTTTTAGAACTTCTTATCTATATATTTCAAAGGAAATCGTTTAGTTGATATCAAGCAAATCGGTTTTCAAACAGCTTTCAAAGACTTGGGTTAGATTTGAGCATCCCTATTAAGCATTGAAATGAATTTTTTTCTAATTACCACCAAACGTAACGCAAATATCCTTTGGAACTTTTTGAAACGTGCCTTTGAATTTAAAATTTTCCCTAATTCTACTCAGAAGATGGTTAAATTTTTCAATTCGACCCTCCATTAATCCTCGCTGATATATGCTATGGTACATATTAATTTGACGAAATTCCTTTTTTTTGGCGCATGGACAGCTGGAGTCGCACGCTCCTTTTTTAAAGGTCAAATACTCCCGTGGTCCAGAACCCTTACCCTCCTTTCTGGGATTCCAGTCCTAATCTTTCTTGTCAAATTGACAAAGTCAAAACTGTACATACCAAATCTTGCTCTTGCTTAAAAAGAAAACAAGCCCAAAAAAGACAAAAATCATATTCCCTCAAATCCCAGCCGTTCGTTCCCAAGCAATCGATTCATTATAACCTTTTCGCCAGGGCGGATCAACGGTTGGATACGAACGATGTGGTCGGGACAAGACAGGATGACGGGAAGTTGGTGCTGCCGTAACTGGAATTTCTGGGAGGGGTCGGGGGAGAATTTTTGGATTTGCGAATTCCAATCAAATCAAATCGAAATCAATCACGTTTTTTGATTTTATTGTATTCTTTTTTATGTATTCGTTGTCTTTTCTTTGGTGTTGCTTTGCCCCCAGAAAGACGATAGACGATAGACGGTGCCGACCGTTTGACAACTTGGCTGCAGTTTTTTCTTCAGCCAATAGCTTCTTCGATTTTGTTGGTTTCATTGACTTTTTGTTGAAATGACTTGGGTTCGCGACCAAATCCTGGAGGATATATAAAAGAAGGAAATGGTCCATCTGATGATATCTTCTGAAAAGGGGTTGTTTCTTCTGGCTTTGTTATTGTTAAGTTGTATTAGGTTTAGGTTGCCTGATTGATAAGGTAAAATATTGACTGCATGAATTTCAAGACTCCGCAATGATCAGAAAGTCCATGGCATGATCGCCATTGTCAACACCCAAAATGCACACCACGCTTGTGAAAATATAAATGATTTTTGGTTTGCCGAGCTGGGTTTCGATGACTTGACGAGGGCTTCATTTGACGAGATCAGAGTTGTTACTCGTTTTTTCATGTTGATTCGACGTCGCTCGGATGAACGACTCTTCTCACGGCAGGGAACACGATAAAATAAACAATATTTTTCGTTGGTGGTGCTTATATTGTACATTTCTGAAGTTGTGCAAAAGTGCTAGCTAGCTTCAAATCTCCCTTTAGTAGGTAAATTGCTTTGGTTAAGACTGTACGGATTCATTAATGGACTTTGTGCTATATACAGTCTATGTAAAATTTAGTCCATCCAAGCTATTGTAGATATATTGCATATGGATTCTCAATATCGGACGCCCAATAAATAAAAAGTGAGGCTATCGTCTGAAGCACGATAATTTCCATCTCCTTTTAGCCAAGTTCTTACCCACCTGAACGGAATTCATCTTGAGCAAAGAGATGAAGAATGATGCATGGAGTAGAAGGAGGGCTCTCGATCATACAATCGACAATCAATAACTTGCCATGCTTATCTGAGTAGTCCTCGAGCACCAATTCGGATCCTTATCCAAGACTAAGCAATAAATGATGAATATAATGCATCTACGGGATGATAGAT